CCTGAATCCAATGCTAGACAGAATTATAGAAGAGACTCAATGGATGGGTCCAATAAACTAAATGGCTGCTATTTCCAAATGCTAATTGGATTTAATTGACTAATTAAAACTAGTTGTTTCAAACAGGCTCTGGTACCATTTGACCACCTCTATGACCTTGAATAACTTCTGTTGTCAATTCTCTGATTCAATGTATGTATAAAGTTGAGATAATAGCAGTCTTGCCTTGGGATGATGTAAAGATAAAAAGAAGAAATAGAGAACGTTTTAAATGCTGCCTGACATACTAATATTTCAATAAATGCTAACTGCTTTTACAATGCTGAAGTAGTTGACAAAGGTTTATTGAAGGATACAGGACTTCAGATGTGTATTTCAAAAATGTTGAAAATTGAGTAAAGTCCAGAGAAAGAGGTTGAGTAAATTCTGGAGACAGTGTTAAATACCGCATGATCACCAGACAGTGAGGAAGTCTTACCAATTTGGCTAGAAGTTGGCTGATGTTGAATGATGGAAATAAAATCTGATGAGATAAGTGAGGAAAAATCTCAGAAGATCTTAGTTTTGGGATGGTAAGTAATTGGGAGGTGGAATTCCATGTGTTCTCAGGCAGGGGAATGTAACATACATGCGATATTTTTAAATAACCTTGTAGAGTTTTCGGGATAAATTGTCTTATGCTTAAAAATTACAGATAGTATAGTGGAATCTTTTATGCAAATCCTTTCACTTAGAAATAGAAATTTCTATTTCAGGGCAATTTCTATTTCAGAAAGTCTAAGACTTTTCTCCTCCATAAAGTTTTTCCTTCTGATTCATATCACAGTGGCTTGATTTTTTTCTATGTGTTGAATACCTTAACATTCAAGATGATGTTCTTTATATTCGTGTCCTCTGTCATCATCTTCGGGGGCTGAATTTGAACTTAAAATATGTTGCCAAATCACTTCATGTTAAATACATTAAAAAGGTGTTATCCAGAATGCTTAAAATGGTTTGACTTTAAGACAAGAACTATCCAGTTAACAAAACTGGTACTCTTAGGAGGCTTCTAAGTTGATTTTGAGAAGGCAGGTCCCATAGAGAACATCTAAGTGTATGTTATATATCACACACACATTCTCAGAAAAAGATGATTTCTCAAAGCAACTCCTTCAAAAAGGTAGTGTTTCACTAATGGCATCAAGATTCAGGAAATAATGGCTGGGTGATGCAGTTCAGTGGTGCAGCGCTTGCCTAGCATGCACATGGCCCAGGGTTTGATCCCCAGCACCATCAAATTAAATAAATTAACACAACCAACATCATTTATAGTGATTCAAACACTAGCAAATTCTGTTATCATGCATATTTTCTCTCAGGAAGGGTCATAACTTTTCTTTGTGTAGCTCATAGAGCCATCATGGGTGCTAGGTAGACATTCTATTGAATTCATTTTAAATTAGAAGGATATAGGGAATGGTAAAACCACTTTTCTAAGCTAACACAGGTCTCTTCCCTTTCTTTCACCCGTAGACTGGGTCAGCAGGAGTAGAGTAACAAAAGATCTGGCATTTCCAGGTAACAGGTGGTTTTAGCTGATTAATCTAGGTGGATTTGATGATATTTGCCTTTGGTAACTGTTCAGCTATTATGTGACTTCCTTGTCTTTTGAATTATACTCTCTACTAACCAGGCAGGCAAATGGGAGGATAGTGTTAGGAATTCTACATCAAAGGAAAGAATATAGAATTTTATTGGAACACACAAAGAAAGTCATTAAAATAGGAACCCCCAGGGAATGAGGCTTGAGAATGACCTGCTTGCCTTCATCATCTTTCCAAAGTATTTTGATCTCTCATGAGGAGGATTGAAAGGCCTTTCTCTAACTGCACTGGTTTTGCCAGTTCCCTCATTCAAGATACACCCATAAACATGCACAAGCCACTCTGATCCTCAGAGGGTTAGAGAATGAGATAGGTGGGAAGTTTCCTTCAGTGGAAGGCTTTCTTCTCGCAAATCAGAAATTCCATCATATATATTCCTATTCCCTTCAATAACTGGCAAGGGGATCATCAGAATGAGCTATTGCAAAAAGCCACCATAGTCTTCTCAGTTTCTCTGTGATAGTGCCCCAGATCAGAATTGTAAAATAGTTTGGAGGATCTTGGGACATAAAACATGGTGCAGAAAACCAAAGAAGATTTAATTTTATTTATAGAAAGGTAGTTGGTAGGGGGGGCGGGGACAATAGAGGAAAGTGGCTTGGGATCAACATTAATCATTTTTTAAGTACCAACCAAGTGAAAACATCTTATGGAATTCACTGCAAGTGACACTGAATTCTTCTAAGCAAATATGTGATGAGTTGATTAAAAAAAAAAAAAATAGGTCCTGAACTCCTGACTACAGATATAATACAGTGAATACAGAAAATCAAAAGCATGCTTTCTATCTGACTCAAAATAAAGGTACACTTAAACTTGTAAAAGACAACATTTTTATTTGAATGATATGACAGAACTGTCACAGGAGTGTTACCTGCTATAAAGAAAGCCGAAGAATTATTACCTTTATTAGACCAGTGACACTGAGCTTTAGCCATACATTTCTAACTTCTGTCCCTCTACAGAGACAATTTTCTTTTCTTAAATAAACTGTCATGCTAGTGTTAATATATTGTTGGCTCTCTCATGCTCTGAGAATACTGCTGATATAAAACATGTATATGTTAGATTGGTAATAGTATCTTTAGTGTAGCTGACTAGAACAAATGTGTTTCCCTCATGGCTGTGCTAATGTGATAAAGGAAAATTGGCTGTTCATCAGCTTTTGGCTGGGTAAAGACAGTAGAGATGGAACCACATTCTTTTTTATGCATTAATACCACCGAGAACTTTTCACGAGTTATATTTCATGTGCCTGCATGTTGTGCAAAGATGTTGTAAAACATGAGATAATGCTACAAATAACAAAGTAGAAAAGCCTGTATCTTTTATAATGATAACAGTCAAACACCAAATGACAGTAACAGGCTGTAAAAAATGGGATGCAAAAAAAAAAAAAAAAAAAAAAAAATCAGCCCTACTACTTAGCAGAGAGGAATAGATCCAGGCCCATGAGAAGTTGGTGTATGATTTTAGGTTTATTAAAGCCATGTTATGAAATGAAGTCATATGTAACACTAGGTCAATGAATTGAAGAAAAATATGTTTATATGAAAGAAAATTGCACAGAATGGAAAAATTAAGTTTGGTAACTTTTGAAAATTACCAAGTAATTATGTCATTAACTTCTGGGTTTTTGTTTTGTTTTTGATTGGGAGATTTATGAAAGAGGTTCTTATGGCAAAAATTCACATAAGGATTTAAAGGTGTCTAAGAATAAATGTTTATCCTTATTAATTATTATACATTCATTTGAACAGAAAATAATTTAAGAAATATATATTTTAAACCAGTTGTAATCTCACAGCAGTCAAGTGGATGTTAAAGATGGTTCCCATGTACAACCTGTCCTCAGATACAACTGCCTCCCAAATCCTGTACCAGAGTGGTACATTTGTTACATTGCTGAACCTATACTGATACCTCATCTTTATTCAAAGTCCATAGTAGAATAACATTTTCAATGCTGTGGTTTGGTTTTAATTAAAGTATTTACATCTAACATTTCAATTGTGTAATATTAAATTTCCATTTCTATCTCTTCTCCCAACTCTCAACTCAGCCCTTCTCTAGAATCTTTTGTATGCCCTAGGGGTATTTTGGTTGGAGTGCCCTTTACCTTTAAGCACTTGAATTGACACACCTTTGTGTAGAATAAAGTTGATGTCAAAATGGCTGATTACTTAATTCAGGATTATATGTTATCACTGTAATCTCAGCAGCTGGGAGCCTGAGACAGAAAGATAGCAAGTTCAAAGCCACCTTCAGCAATGGCGAGACACCAAACAACTCAGTGAGACCCTATATCTAAAATGAAATACAAAATAGGGCTGGGGATGTGGTTCAGTGGTTGAGTACCCCTGAGTTCAAACCCTGGTACCCCCCCACAAAAAAAAATGCAAGCATAAAGATTTTATGTCAATAGGATCTATGAGCTATTCTGCATAAAAGTTTGAATTGATTTTTCAGAGGATTATGTTTCAATTCCATAAGTCTTAATAAAATTTAATTGGGTAAACTTCAGAGAGCATCAAACTACAACCTATAGATCATATCTAACTGGCCACCTGTTTTTGCAAGTAGGGTTTTGTTGGAGCACAGCCAGACTTATTTATCTATTTCCTATGACTGCCTTTACATTACAAAATCAGAATTGAGCAGTTGTGTCCAGAATTGTTGGCCCACAAAACCAAATTATTTGATTTGAAAAGAAAAAAATATTCTCTGGTCATTTATGGAAATGGTTTGCTAAACCCTAATGTAAATAGGTATTGGACTGCTTGAGTTATTAGCTTAGAATATACTTGGCAAATTCTTACATTAGTCTGCAATGGGAAAGTACATCTGAAAAATTTTCAACTAGTTACAAACACCTAAAATGGTAACTATTTATGAGAAGTGTTTTTCTACTAATAACTTAAATTGAATTATAGCCCTATGAAATACAGTTTTGTATATATGGTTTTGGATATTTCTCCCTGTTGTATTAATTTCTGCTTTATTTCCAAATAGAGCCATAACAAATTTAATTAGCATGTGAAGAAACAACATGTGCACAAAAAAACTTATGCAAGCATGGTAATCAGTGCTATTACAAACATGGGACAAATATTATACATTGCTGTGAGCACCCTGGGAGATACCATCACAGCACAAAACTGCACCATGTGGATTTGTATCTAGATGTATAAACATGCAGGAGTATCATTGTGCTATGAAAACAAATTGTCTTCATTCTTATCAACAGAAGAAAGTAGAGAAATAAGGAAATAATGCCTTTTTAAAGAATCCAAATTATGTGGTTATTAGAAAACTTTATGTACTTAAGATAATAATGGTGATAATTTCTTACAGGTGCATCAGACAAAAATCAACTTCTTTATCAATGGTTTGGAGGAGGATAATACAGCTTTTTATGCAACAACTTTAAGTGGTTCAATTACAGATTTTCCTTCCAGTACTATTCGAATAGGACAGAGTTTAAATGGTAAGATTCTGACTTTAGAAATGGTATTAATTTTTCTCCAATTACATTGTTCCTGGAAAAAAATGTGTCAAACAAATAATATTCAAGTGCATTCATTTTCTAGGGCTGCTGTAACAAAAGACCCCCAACTGGGTGACAGATTAATACAACAGAAATTTATTCTCACAGTTTTGGAGGTCTAAAGTCTGAAAACAGGATTGAGCTAGTCTGGTTCCCCCTGGAAGCTAAGATGGAGAAGACATTCTGTGCCTTTCTCCTTCCATGGCTGCTGCCAGCAGACCTTAGTGTTGCTTAATTTACAGCTCTATAGCTCCAATGTTTGCCTCTGCTCTCAGAGGACCTTCTTTGTATCTTCTTCCCTTTTCTTGCAAGGACATTGGTCCTCGGATTTAGGGCCCACTGTTATCCAGGAGGAGCTCACAGTCAACATCCGTATTTATACTTGCAAAGTTCCTTTTTCCAAATAAGGCTACATCAGTAGATTCCAGGTGGACATATCTTTTGGAGGCCACTTTTCAACTTGCTACACTAGGGAAACCTTAAAACTAAAACTTTTCTATTTTGATTAATTTTTAAAGTAAGAACAACATGTGTGAAGCTATATTCTCTGTCCAGTTTTGTTTGGATTTTAATTTAGGGCATTGTTAAACTAGGACTACAGCATATTAAATTAATAAGTGCACATGTAAAAAACTCACATGTGTTATTCATGTTTTTCGATATTAAAAAGAGATGTATAGTTTAATAAGATGATGTTTGCTTCTGAAATGAGCAGAAGTTGAAATGAGAATTATCTTGGAAATGTCCAGCACAATGGTCTTTAAAACACCACCATTTTAAAATGGCAATGTTATTATATAATGTCTGCTCATTATAAAAAAATTCAAACAATATGGAACTCTATGAAATAGAAAGCATTTTCCATATTTCCATCTTCAGAAGTGCACTTTAACTTTTTTATGCTCTTCCAAATATTTAGTGCATTCAGCTAGAGATATGGTTATAAATATAATATTTTTAAAAAGTAATTATAATACATATGCTTTATCTGAGTCCTCTAAAAATAAATACTTCCTCTCCAAATGTTATGGAGCACATTTCATGTCAAGATACCTTCTTATTTAGGTGTACCTTCTCATTTAAATGGCTGCACTGTGTACAACAGTATAGTTTTAACAAGTTTTGAAAACAAGTTCCTAAAATGAACATTTGGATTATTTTTAATTTTTCAAAGTTAAGTGATCATTTGATAGAAAATACTGCATCTTTACATTTATATGCTTTTATCTATTCATTTATATCTTGTATTCACATGCACATATACATATGTATTTGAGCAATTGTCTGATTGAACTGTTCCGAAAGACTATACACTGTTAAAAATCTGCCTGAGTTCCAACCCCATCTTCTAGATGACCTGGACAAACATATTAATTCCTCTAAACTATAGTTACTTCAACTTTAAGATGGTGATGATGATGATGATGATATTCTAAAGTGCCACTGTGAAGATAAAATGAGGCAATGTCATATAAAACATGGCTGTTTTTCAAGCATCTGGCATGTAGTAGATGCTCAGTATTTATTTGTTGAATGAATGAGTGCAGTGCTTAGCACCGTGCCTTGTGTATACTGAACTACATTTGCAAATGATACTATTATTAATGTTGTTTTAATTATTTTCCCAAGATAAATATACAGAAATTGAATAGCGGGTTGAAGTATATAATTCTTTTATATATTTTAATACATAGTAATTGTTACTCCAATGTATAACATCAGATTATCTTCAGAAAGTTTGTGAAAATTTACCTGATTAAAAAATACAGGCAAGGCTGAGGAAAGAGGATTGCAAGTTCAAGGCCTCCTTAGCAAAAGCAAAGTGCTAAGCAACTCAGTGAGACTTGGCCTCTAAATAAAATACAAAATAGGGCTGGAGATGTGGCTAAGTGGCTGAGCACTTCTAAATTCAATCCCTGGTACCCCACCCCCACAAACAAACAAACAAACAGAAAATATAGGCAAGTTCTTATTTTCTTAAACACTAAATAACCTCACAGATGATCCATTTTTTCCATCCTTGCTATTCCTCTAAGTGAAAAATATCGTGGGATGTTGACTTGGAATTATTTGGCCATTAAATGTGAGTAACTGTCCAAATATGATTTGACCACTTGCATTTCATTTGTGAATTCCTTATTTGGGGTATGTATACATATTTATATCCATAATTTCTTGTTTATGAAAAACTCATTAATGATAAGAATATGTTGCATATGTTTTCTCCAGTTTTTTTAAAATAGCCTGCTAATTTCATGTTACAGATATTTAAAGCATTACTTGAAATGTTTAATCAAAGCAAAAACATGAATGTAAAATTGTATATAACTATTAAGGGTATAACTTGATGAGTTTTAATAGTCATGTATTTGTGTGATACTCTTGTAGAAAAAATTGTGAACATTTCCAGTGTCTCAAAGAATCTCTCCTAGTGAATACCCACTCTAAAGTTATCCATGGGAATTTAGTATAGACCTCACAGAACAGTAGGAGTAGAGACCTCTCTGCATACTGACATTGTCTATTCTTGAGTTATCATGAAAATGAAATCATGGCATAGGTATCTGTGTTGTTTTCACTCAGTATTATGCCTATAGGGTTTATTCATATTGTACATAGTTATATCTTTACCTTTAGAAAATAATTTTGAATTGTTTTCTAAAAAGGATATCCCAACCATTAATATTTGAGAATTCTGGCTGTTTCATGCTTAGTACTGCCAAATGTTTTTATTGTTGGCCATTCCTGGGGATGCGTGATACATTTCCTGATGATTAATGATAGTGAGAATTCCTTCATGTGCTTATTTGCCATGTAGATCTGACTTTTTTATGAAATACCTATTCAAGTTGTTTATTTTTTTTGCCAGTTTTTAATTGGGTAGTTTGTCTTTTTCTTGTTAATTTGTAGGAGGTTTTCAATATTTTGAAAATGAGTTTTTTGACAGATACATGGATGGCAAATGTTGTCTTCTAAGATGCATCTCGAAATTTTATTTTCTTAAGGGTGTTCTTTGATAATGAGGACATACTTATTTTAGGGAAATTCATTTTGTTAATTATTCTATACTTAATATTTTTGTGTCTTGTTCAGAATGTCTTAGCAAACCATGATGTTCTCTTTTATTTTATTGTGGCAGCTTTATTATTTTATGTTTTAAATATAGCTCTATTTTTTATCTGGGATAAATATTGGATGTATGTAATATAATATAGAAGTCCCATTTTTTTCTCAACTGTGTATATAATTTACCTAGAAATTTTTTAAAATTTTCATTTCCACCAGTCTATGGTGGTTACTTAATCATAAAACAATTATCTTCATATATGAAGATAGGTTTGTTTCTGAACACTCTATTTTGTTCCAATGATCTGTCAATACTTGGATCAAAATTTCATTTTAATTACTGTAACTTGAATATATCTTTATCTGTCAGCATAAGTTATTCAACTTTTATAACCTTTCAAGGTTGTCTTAGCTTTTATATGAGTTTTGGAAGCATCTGTACAGTTTACCTAAAAACTCATCTGAGATTTAAAACATCAAGTTTATTTTGGAGGAATAGGTATCTAAATAATATCAAATCTTCCCATGTATGAAGATCATGAATTTCTTAATTTCAAAAATGTTTTTTTTTGTTTGTTTGTTTTCTGTATAAGAGGTCTTATATTTGTAAGGCTTAGGCCATGTTTTCTTTTTATTTATTTATTTTTAAAATTTTAATAGAATGTTTTTAGAGCAGTTTTAGGATCATAGCAAAATTGTGTGGAAAATACAGACAGTTCCCATAGACCTTCTAGCTATTAACTTCTTTTTAGATGTGTAGCTTGTGAATATTTTCTCCCATTCTGTAGGTAGTTTCTGCACTCTGTTGATGTCTCCTTTGCTATGCAGAAACTTGTTTTATTTAATCTTATTTGTCTACTTTTGCTTTTATTTTCTGTGCTTTTAGAGTCTTATCCCAAAACTTCTTGCCCCTTCCAATATCCTGAAGCATTTTGCTTATGTTTTCTTTTACTAGTTTCATAGTTTCAGGTGATAATTATAAGTCTTTAATCATTTTAAGGTGATCTTTGTAACTGGTAAAAGGGTCTAGTTTCCTTTTTCTGCAAGTGGATAATCAATTTATCAACACCATTTATGAAAAGACAATCTTTTCTTCATTGCATATTCTGAGTATCTTTGTTAAACCATTTGGTAATGTCTATAGACATGTAGGATTACTTTCAGGCTCTCTATTCTCTTCTGTTTGTCTGTGTGTCTCTTATACCAGTATCATGCTGTTTTGATTATTACAGCTTTGCAGTATACTTTGGAGTCAGGTAGTCAAATGCATTCAGCATTGTTGCTTCTGCTCAAGATGAATTTGGTGATTTAAGGTTTTTGTGGCTCCATCCAAATTTTAGAATTGTTTTTTTTTTCTGCTTCTGTGAAGAATGCCATTGAGAATTTGAATTTTCATTGAATTTATAAGTCATTTTTTGGAGTATGAATATTTTAAAAATGTTTATTCTTCTAAATCTCTGGGAATAAAGATGCCTTTCTATTTTTTTTGTCTTCTCTTCAACTTCTTTTATACAACTTTTCTTAATTTGTTCTATTAATTTTTTGATGGAGATTTTGCAGATATGTCATCTGCAGTGACAATTTGACTTATTTTCCAGTTTGGATACCCTTGTTTCTTTTTCCTGATTTCTATGGCTAGGAATTCCAGCACTATGTTGAAGAAACATGGTAAAAGTAGGCATCCATATCTTCTTCCAGATCTTAGAAAGCTTCTAGATTTTTCCCATTTACTGTTTGGTTAACTTTTGGTTTATCATAAATGCTCTTTCATTATGTTGAGATATGTTTCTTTTCTGCCTAATACGGTTAGCATTTTTATCATGAAAGGGTGTTGGATTTTATTAGTTGTCTTTTCTGTATCAGGTGAGATGGCC